AGAATTGGTGGATGTGACAGAGCATATTACAAGGATGCAACAAAGAACTTCTCTTGATTTATCGGGTTGTAGCTGCTAAAGACAAAGAGGGGAAGGACCAGCGCGGTAGCTAAGACTTGAATACTTCCAGAGCAGTGTGCCACTCTGTCTTTATGATGCCAGTCAGTGTGATGGTGAGCCTCAGGGATTACTCCAGACAGACAGCTCAGTAAGACAACTGATTAAATAGTAGTGAGAAGGGAGAAAATGTTTAATTCAGCCGTATTTAGTATTCATGGGACGGACAGCCATACAAGAGTTCACCTTGAGGGGTCATCAGGAGAGAAGGTCCAGAATCCCAAAGAGCTGCCAGGCCAAGTTTCCACATAGCACTTGGAAAGACAACTGATGTGCAGCAATCACAAAGAACAATACATATTGTTCATGTTAGATACAGAAGATTTGGAATGAGGCCACTGTATCTTATATCTTTGTCAGGACTGTGAAGATTTCTAAGCATAAGTTTGACAACTCTTCATCATAATACTCTCAAAACCTTCTGTTAAAGGTTTGCAGCTTCAAGTAATTCAAAACAATACTATTTATATTAGCTTGGCTCTGTGACAGAGTGCCAGCTATAGAGACATGATGAAATCCCTGTGTTGAAATACCTCACCATGACGTTCAAAACTAATTCAATTATATGCATCAGCAGTTCAATAGACCTACAGAATTGGGTTATTGTCTGAAATGATGAAAAAAAAGAAAAATACCAGTAAATCATGTGTGAATGAAGTTTAATGTAAAAATGATTTTCACAAATAGTTGCCAAAATGGGCTTCAAGAACAAGGGATAACAGATGATTTCTGCAGTCATTTGCCAAGCTATTACTCTGCATCAACTACAGATCCAATTTACTCTGTATCTTCAAAGGTATTCCTATAGTTGGGAGATAATATGGTGAAGGGCCAAGCAAGGCAAACAACAGAAAAAAATGTCACATAAAAGAACTACACATCATACACTGCTCTAGAGGAAGGAATATTCTAAAAATGTATAGTACTTTTATTATTATACTGGATCGTGTGGCTCATTAAATCAAGGCCATATGTTTGGGTTTTGATCAATACCTCATTGCATCAAACACAGTGTGTTAATACGTCTGTGGAAAGTCAATATGGATGATGTGCTTTATAATGAGAACCAAGAGATTCAAGAAATGTTATGAGTGGGTAAAAATCTCCAACAGCAAATTTGGTTAGTTGGTTCATACACTGATGTGTTTTTTTTCTTCTTCTTTTTTTCTCAGTCCTTTCATGATTATGCTCCTCAGTGTCACCCCAGTAAGTCAAAAGTAGAGATCAAAGTATGCATCAACAATCATCAGTCACCAGTAGTCCATTTAGGTATGGTCCACTTCCCCACTTTCATTTAATGTAAAAATATTAATATGTCACAGAACAATGAAACGCTGTGAGGCAGGTAAGAGGAGGGAAATTAACACCACCATTACCCCAGACTTTGCCACCTGCACCACCTTGTCTCTGCAGTTTTACAGTAATGATGTGAGAGTTGCAGAGGTCCCTGAGACAGGAAAGCACCCCAGAGATTTCCATATACTCCGAACAGAACCTCGATCTGCTGAGCCATCTCACTGACACGGAGCCCAAACTCACATTGTGTCCAAGTGAGCAGGTTAATCATCATACTCGTATAAAACTCAGTGAAGCCATATACAGTGCACTCTGTAAGTTGAAGGAGACTGACAGTGACTTTTCCCATTGTTTTTGTCTGCACTCCATAAATGAAATAATGACTCAGGTTATAGTGCTGACTCTCTGCTTTAAGAGTGTTCTCAACTGTATTGGTGAACGTCCCCAAAACAAAAAATAAGGGATGATGACTGCAGTAGCCTACGAGCCTGGCAGAGCTTTATCACAGACTTCAGACAGAGCATTTGCAACCAGATATATATTTCAAGGTTTATTTTAATTGCTTCGACTTAACTTCTGGTCCCCTGCATTTGATCATCTGATGTAGATGTAAGCACCATCAAATTAAAGCTGTGCATTGCTACTTTAACCTAATACACTGTTTCATTTAAAATACAAAGTGCTGGAGTTCAGAGATAACGGAATTAAAATCTGCTACTGTTCTGCCTTTCATGAGTTGCACTTTTAAGTAGGTAGGTAAGTGAGGACGCAGAATCCAGGAGCCACAGGTCAGTTACAATAACAAAGGGGATAATATAGCTGCTAAGGAGTGGCCTACACTTGAACTGTTATGGCGCTATTGACCTGTATTGACCAGAAGTAGTGGTAATGACTTCCACTATGGCTGTAGCTGCAGTACAGGTCAATAACACTGCTCCACTACAATCTGTATTGTAGGCAATGAACTTAAACCAGCTAGAAACATATTAACTATGGTTACATCTTGCAGGTAGATGTCAGCAATGAACCTCTAACGGAGTGAGCAGTTTGCTTTCACTAAATAATGCTTCCATTTTTCACTTTTCATTCCTCAAGGCACAAAGTTCTAATGGCTTTAGTTCGAATAGCAGTCATTTCCAGCGATGTCAAGATCATATGCTGGAACATCACAAATGCTACTCATCAGTTCACTTACTCAGAGAATGTTGGAAGAGGACATATTCTCTGCGCCCAACAGTAAGCAAAAGAGCACCATAAGGGTTTCTAGTGAGCCATAAGTCAAACATTCCTCGACACATTTCCTTTGAATTAGCACTTAAGCATTTTCAAGTCAATCTTGAGGATGTGCAGCCCGCTGTTCTGCATGTCCTCTTCTGTATCGTTACGGTAGTGAAGGACTAAAGAAACTGGCCAGAAATAATGACAGAGAAAATCTATGAAGCATCTTCAAAGTCATCTGTGCTTGGAATGAGACAAATTAAAGTAAAACAAGTCTGTCTTTACTGAAAGAGCCTTTATAACTGATTTCTTTCAAAGGTTGCCAATTCATAATCCATTGGTCACTGCTATATTAAAGCTATTATGAAGTGATGTCATTACATTAAATCATGGCAAGTGATATTTAAATGTAGGAAAGAAGCATTCTTTGTGATTCATGTCAGCTCATTCAAAGACATAATGACTGATCTCCAACTAATTCCAACTCTCCACAGAGTAGTTAGCCTGTGCACATTTTTAATCCAGTAATGTAAAAAATGAACTGAATTATTTGATCAACTTCTGCATAAAGATGTTGCTTTACAAACTTTCAGTGCCTGTATTTTATGTTTGTTTAATGCTTGGATATAAAAGGAAGTCCTTGAAACATAGCGTGTTCTGTTTTCACAACCCTTCTACAATGATGAATCTGTCCACAACTCAGACCCAGATACCTACTGCTGTATATGGAGGATGTGTTGTAGCCTAGTTAGAAGTAAAGTTGCATCAATCCAGGCTATTTAGAATAGACTAGATTAAGATTTATAATAAATAGATTTAAAATAGACTATTTAGTCATAGTACATAGATAGTACAGCTATGTTGAAGGCATCAACCGACTGATTCAGCTTAGAGACCTTACTGTAGAAACGCTAACTGGGGAGGTGATATTAGACGCAGAGATGCAGGATGAGGGGCTGGAGGAAGTTGCTCATTCTGACTTAAAGAATCAAGTCCTTGGGGACGAGCTGAAGTTGTGAATGCATCTGCGAGTTGAGCTCTCCTCGATAAACAAACAGACAGAGGACTCCCCTGATGAGTCTTCAAATGTGGAGCGCCATGAGTGTAATAGACCAAGTGGAAGGAGCTCTGACCGAAGTGAGTAACCACCTTCTGAAGACAAAACATCGGGAGGAGCAGAACAGGACTGACACCAGGACCAGCAGCTGACCAACATCTCCTTGGACAAAAAAAGGCCTGGGACTCAAACCTGGATGAGCAAACCCTCCACGTGCCCATCTCTGGATCTGGTATCTGTTCATCAGATGACATTTCTAGGATAAATTTTTACAAAACTTAATCCTGTTAAAAAAAATAAAATAATAAAAAGTGAGACAATGTAGGGGATTGTGGGCTTAAATAGAGAAACCCCTTACTGTTGTTAGTGTCTTGCTGTTGTGAAATGTACAAAGCCCACAGACGTAAACCTACCTTTTTATATCATAAGATTATTATAGCATTTCAGTCTGAATGGTTAATTCATGACAGTTCAATGTCTTCTTTTTAAAAATCCTGTTGTTCATATTTGATCCAAATAACAGAAATTAGTTCTTAGCCAATTATTATTTTTGCACTTTTGCTTCATTTTTTTTAGCTGTTTTCAGGTTATGTATTGCATTAGTTTTGAAATCACAGATAACATCTAAGGTTGCCATACTTTCCAGCTTTGATTATATAATGCTGCCATCTGCTGGGCAACACAGACCAAACAAGTTCGCAAGTATATTCAGTCCAATACCTGTAACTACAAATTATTAGCCTTGTCATCATGTTGTGTGTCCTTGAGATTTCCTTTCATCATGTGATTCTATGTTGAATTAGACTACTAGTCATCTAATACAGTTCTCTCATCGCAGCCCTTGTGAAAAGGCAGGACTGAAAAGTACAATGTGCTTATTTTCATTAGTTTTATCAGTTAATTTTTAACAGAGTCTGAAGTCTGAAATGTTCACTCTGGGTTCAAACTTCTTTGAGGAGATAATATTCATTGGTATCCCTACAGCATTGGAATATATATTGTGTCAGACTATCCCTGACCTTACAAATCTTGTAATGATGGATGTGTATATGTGACAACAATGGTATGAAGTGACAATGCCCTGTCAAAGATACAGTATATGATTTCCTACTGTATATAAGCGGTGCACTTTGCTAATAAAATGATAAATAAAATATCCATAAATGCCATAAATTACACCATACAATGAATCACTGGGAAGCAAAATCCACATAAAAGTCTGTAAGTCTGTAAGTATGAATGTTGTTTTAAATTTCCATCTCACACTTAGTGGGCTAAAAATAAGATTCATGTTCAATAGTCACATGTTTTAATTGCCAGAGTGTAATCCACAATTATGCACAATTTATCTAACAACTAATCATACCAAGAAAATTGGAGAAAGATTTATGTTATCTACAATTCATGAGAGGAAAATCAACAGATTTCATAAACAGATACCCAGCATATTGTTGACTATGTTGTCCAATTATTAATGTGGTATCAGACCTGAAAATCCTATAATAGCCTCGTAGTAATACACAGTGGTGCCAACTGATGAAAGAAGCACCTAGGGCAAGGTATGATCTGCAGCACATACAGGAATATTAAAATTGCAAATATAACCGAGGTCCTTGAAAGAACTCTCAGGTAAACATCTTTTTAATGCTTCTTTTTGAAAAATATGCCTATTAGCTAAAAAGAGCAAGAACTGTGTGTCTCAAATTGCAGAAATGTTCTGTCTTTTATTCGAATGAGGTCCCAGGTGTATCAACTGAAAATCTTCCATAAAAAGGTGGGTTCATTTATTTCAGTTTATCGGGCACAGGACCATGTGCTCAGCAATCCATTTGTGTGCTTGCGTGTGTAACTAACAAACAAAAAAGTACAACGGTAATGAATGCACCAGAGTGATTTTTCAAGAGAAGTTACATCAATGACAAGGCACCAGTCAAACCCATATGTATATTTATTCTCTACCTCCCTTCAATGCCAAAATATATCTGAAAGACGTCACAACAGCCTTTTTCATTTAAGAACTGGTAGAGTTGCCCAAGGTCCATGTGATTACCTCTGTTCCCATGGGGGTCGAACATTGCTTCTTCAAAGCCTGTGAATTTGCGCAGAGAGTCTATACTTTCAACAGTCCTGCTGTCCTCTCCCTGACGATCAAGGGGAATATCCTCTCTATGTCGAATCATGATCTTCTTCCATGTCAGAACCTTCACTCTGTGAAATGGGAAAAAGTTAAGAAAATTAATAAACCTCACACCTCAGCAAGCTCCTGGCTGTGACATCAGCTGCTAAAAATAACCACACTCAAGGTACCTGGACCAGAACTCCTCGCAGGCGGACTGGGGACCTTCCACACACACAATACCAGGCTTCCCAGGCATGCTAAATCCCGTCAGGCCCAGCTCCTTGGACCACTCCAAGATGTTCTTCCTCTTTGTCTTGTTGTAGATGTGATGACTGTAGATCCACAGTCTGCTGAACACTTCCTCGGATCGTGGAGAAGAGGACTCTTTCACAGGAGCTGGTGCTGCTGATAAGCTCTTACTGATGAAGAGCTGCAGGTTGTCTTTCACCCAGTCCACAGCAGAGAGCACACATACTTCCCCCTGGCAGTTTTCCAGAAGGAATGCATTGAGATCTGCATGAATCTGTGTCTGCTGGGCTCTGCTGAGACTGCCACACCTATGGGGCATATAAACAATGCTATAAATGATGCTATAAGAAGGAGTGACGAAAGAACATATGTTTGGGAGACTGATATGTTTACTAATTAAAATAAATGATTACTTTCCAGTAGAATATTTTCTGAAAGCAAATTACAAGTAGAGTTTTTCATTTACTACTGTAGTAGTATTTTGCATTGTGATATACGCATAATCTCTTCTCTCCTAAATCTCTTCTTAAGATAGCTGGTTTACTTATTTTATTATGAGTGTGATGGGTGTGGTTTGTCTCAGGTACAGGCCACCTGTTTAAAGTGGACAGGAGAAGAGACCATAACTTATCATCAAAGGCTACAGTTCTCAGTAGTCATTGATGGAGTTTGATACATGTCATCCTTACCTCTTTAGCAGCGTTTGCAAAACAGATTAATTAAATTTGTGGCTTAACAACATAAAATGATCACATTCTTAACTTCCAATGAGGCCACAACAGTAGCAAATGACCTCCCACTTTCTGCCACAGTCACATAATCCATTTCCTCTGTGTCATTAGTCTGTTGCTCATCTATGTAATTTTAAATCACTTAATTTCCACATTAGACTACACCAGTGGCACAGTTGTCCTTTGCTTCTTTCTGTAAGTAAAGCTTTATTTATAAAGCACTTTTAAAACACAGAGTTGAAAAGTGCTTCACACAACAACAAAAAAATAGAAATGAATAAACAAATGAAGTAATAAATTACAATATAAAACACAGCACAATGAAAGACCAAACCAAACTAAAACAAACCAAAACATAAAACAGGGATAGAGGTTTATAAAAAAGGCTTGTCTATAAAGATGGGTTTTTAGAGGCTGCTTAAAACAGTCCAAATATTCAGTGAATCAAACAGATTGAGGAAAATGATTCCGGAGAGTTGAGAGTAAAACAGCAAGGGCGCAAACACCTTTTTTTGTACAGTTGGAGCAGGGGGACAGAAATAAGGCAGAGATTTGAGGATCGGAGTGGTTGAAAAGTGGAATAAGGAAAGAGGTCATGCAGTGTCTTGTATGTAATCTACAGGATTGTGTATTTAATTCTAAATTTTAAAAGAAACAAATTAAAGGATGCGAGAACAGGGGCAATGTGGGACTGACGGCGTGTTCTGGCCAACAAATCTTTTTACTGCAGTGGCAAACTCATCAGGTCCAATTAAAGGAATTCTGTTTTTATCAGGGTTTATGTGGAAGAAATGAAGAGACATCCCATCTCTGGTGATGTCTACGTAATCACAGAGGGAGGCAGTTGATTCAGGTTAGCAGAGAAATAGATCTGTGTATCACTGACATAACAGTAATATGACAAGTCTTGAGAGCTGCTCAACAAATGACCCAGAAGAGGCATGAACAATGAGAAGAGGATTGGTCTTAGGACCAACCCCTGCGGCACTCCACACAGCGGGGGTGCTGAGAAAGACAAATGATTGTTGATACACACATTAAAATATCTGTTAGTCAAATAAGAATGGAAGAAGAATGCCTACCCAGTTATGGAACCTATCAAGTAAAATGGCATTTGTCATTTGTGGCCCCTTGTAGATCAGGCTGCTGCTTACTGCTGCAGGGTTTATGGAATTAACGCTTTCTCAGACAGAATGGCAAAGCTGAAACGTGCGTGCGTGCTTGAGCTATTAATGTCTGCCTCATAAGGAAGTTTCATGAAAGTGCTACAGTATCATTAGCTGTAAAATTGCACTAACTACTTTGACATTTCATAACCAGCTCCTATTCGCACATGATCTCTAAATGGAAAGCTTTACATTCTTTATCTTAGGAAAACTCTGCACACACAGCAAAGGTGAGTCTTTCCTGATCTCCCAAACATTAGATTATATGAACATATTATGTTGCTGTTTTGCCAAGACCAAGTTCTCTAAATTTACAATTATATGCAAATTGTATAAATCTTGCAAATTGGTTATATAAGTTATTGTTTTGCATATGTAAAGAGCTGATCACCGTCACCACATATCAAATGTGAATAGTGGCTTACCGGACCGTTATCTCTGGCATCACACTGGGATATTCAGATGGATAAGCACAGGACAGAATTACATCCGTCTGAATGGAGCGACAAAAAAAAGAGAACAGTTTGGTAATTATTATGTTTTAGGACAAATTGAAATCGCAGTGAAATAGAAAGACAGTCTTATTCGGTTACCATCCCCATGCTTGCAGTGTCGAGCTTCTGCTTGATAAGAAACTGGGGTCTGGAGGGAGGAGGGGTGTCTGCAGAAGCTGAGCCCTCCACATAGTCCCTCAGCTCAGCTAGTGCCAGCTGGTCTGTGAGCTCCAGCTCCTCCCGGGTAGGAAACATGCTGGTCAGCAGCTCTATCTCTGCAAGCTGAGACTCAGCCCACTCCAAGTAAGACATGCTGATAACGGCGAGTTAAAACGTCGATCTTCTTATACATAAAAAAATGTATAATATATGTATATTATATATTATATATGTATATTATATATATAATATCAAACAGCTTTCTGTCCACAGTCAAATATATTATCACCTGTCATTTAACAAATGCTAACAAATGACACGTTTCTTTTCCAGTCATCAGCAGTAAAGAAAATCTAACTTGCCATAGAAAACTCTCGTCAAGTCTGAAAAGGTAATGATAGATATTTATATATAAGCTGTGTTTAGAAAGCTGAAAATGCAGCCTAGTTTAACACAAACTTCCCTACACCCCTACCTCCACGTTACACTGGCTAGTAATCGAGATTTGTTTCAAGTCGGACTGTTTCAAACGACACACACAGGAAACGCACGTACCGAGCAGTAGAAACAGTGGCACCGTCACATTTTGTTCCTCCGTTGTCTGCATGTGTCAGCTGGGATTTTTTTTTTTTTTTGCCAAATCAGCGGGGTGAATTTTGAATATTTTAAAACTTTGTAAACCCATTTTCATATCCGAAGGCTTACATTCAACCGTTGTAACCAGTAAATTAACTTAACTATGTCCAGATTAGTGAATTCATCCACACAAAGTAACCGAAACTGAAAATTGTGAAGGACCTAGGCTCCGCTTGTGACAGTAAGTTGACTGGACCATGAGGATCTTGATCGGGTTAAACGTCACATTACTTTCTGTTTTGTTTCTGTGACTGAACGACCTGGTGCTACATTGTGTTAAGCAGCATTAAAATCTGATCTAGCTGTTAGCCAAAGCTAGCGTTACTTCAGGTGACTGCTGGGTCTTATTCCAATTCATCTCTGATTCTGCGTAGGCGAAAATGGGAAAGAAAAGAGGGAAAGACAAGAGCTCCAGAGAGGACGATGACCTTGACCTGACAGGTAAATACATCACCTTTTGCATGTCTTATGACAACCTGTGGGAGGTTTAGGATGACTTTCCCTCATCTTGTTTTTTTTTTGTTTTTTGTTTTTATCTTCACAGGTCCTTCCTGTAGGCATATTAAGAAGGGAACAGACCAAACACTTCTAAAGAAACTTTATGGGAATTCTGATTGGACTAGTTGCCAGGATTGTGAGCATGAAAATAAAGAAAATAACACTACCACCCTGCCACAGGACTCTGAAGAGGAAAAAGAAACAGCAACCATTTGGATGTGCTTGAAATGTGGCCACAGAGTGAGTTTATTCAACCCATTTATTATTCAGATGTTGACAATGTATTCTTTGACTTTTCTTTTGCTAAATTACCAGTGTCATCTCTTCCACAAGGGATGTGGACGAAATTCTGAGCACAAGCATGCCATCAAACATTATGAGACTCCTCGGTCAGATCCACATTGCCTGGTTATCAGCATGGATACCTGGAGTGTGTGGTGAGTATATTGCTGTGGTGTGTTAATCACGGAGGCGTTCAGAGGCTTCAGAAAGTATTCAGTCACTTTTTTTTCTCACTTTATTGTGTTGTTGATTTAATTGAGAATGGCTGAAGTTGGCATTTTTGCCCATTAATCTACACTCAATAACCAATAATGACAGTGAAAATGCTGCATGAAGTTTTTGCAAATTAATGAAAACAAATAAAATATCAAAAAAAAAATATCTCATTTACAAAAGTATTCAGACCCTTAATCCAGTACTTTGCAGCAGCCTTTTTTGTCAGGAATTACAGCTTCAGATCTTCTTGGGTAAGTCTCTACAAGCTTTGCACACCTGGAGCTGCCATCTTCAGGTCTCTCCACAGATGTTTTGTGGAGTTTAAGTCTGATATATGACTGGGCCGTCAAACAATCTTATTTGGATGCATCCATACTTAATGACCAGTCTCCCTGTCCTGACCACTGAGAAGCAACCCCCCATAGCATGATGCTGTCACCATCATGTTCCACCATAGGGATGGTATTAGCCAAGTGATGAGCGGCACAGACATGGTGTTTGGAGTTCTGGCCAGAATGGTTCAGTTTTTTACTCATCAGACCAGTGAATATTTTCCCTCATGCTCTCAGTCCTTTAAATGCTGCTTGGCAAATTTTTAAGTGGTGAAGTCATATGCCTTTTACTCAAAGTGGTGTCCATTTAGCCACTCTACCATAAATGCCTGATTGATGTGTGATGTGTTGCTAAGAGGGTCGTCCTTCCAGCAGCTTCTCTCATCTCTGGATTGGAGCTGGAGCCGGCACCAGTCTCAGGTGACACTGGGCGAGGGCGAGGGAAACACCCTGGCCAGGTTGCCAGTCTATCATAGGGCCTTTCTAAACCACGTCCAATCAATCTAGTTTGCTAAAGATAGACTGAATAGGAATACTGAATACTTTTGTAAATACAATGTATCAGTTTTCAGATTTTTGTTAAATTTTCAATAATTTCTGAAAACACTTACAGTTAGTGTAGAATAAATGGCAAATATGACAGTTTTATCCATTTAAAATTGAATGCACAACACAATAAAGCTTGCAGAAAGTGAAGGGGTCTGAATAATGGCATGTCATTTTTTTTTTTTCATGTGTTGTCAACCCTGCAGGTGTTACATTTGTGATGATGAAGTCCAGTACTCCCGAACTGGACAGTTGGCTCAACTGCTTACCAACCTAAAAAAGCAAACCTCTTCAGATCCCATAAAGAGACCACAGAAAAGTAGGTACCAGTGAGTCATCACTGTTACTGTTTTATTGGAATTACATGTCCCTATAACCATGTCCACCATGTCATGTTTGGTTATTCAGGAGTGAAAGAGGAGGACAGCTTGGTGGAACCTGAGCAGAAGACGGAAACTGTAAAAGCTGAGGAGAGTGAGGACAAGGAGAACAAAGAAAACAACAAGAATCACCAGAAGAAAAACACCAAGAAAGAGGGTGTTGGGAAATCACAAAAGTCCAGCACAACTGAAGATAAAGCTGGTGTTTCAGTAAAAGGGCTGAGCAACCTGGGAAACACATGTTTCTTTAATGCAGTCATTCAGGTAGGATTGGGCCTGATAGCATGATAGTATTGAGTTAAAGAGAGAGAAGTAAATCCTAGAGTTAATTCATTTCTTTCATTGTCTTTTCCAGAATCTCTCTCAAACACAGCTCTTACGACTGACTCTCAACGAAGTGACCCAAGAGAAAATGAGTCTTAACATTAAACCTGGAGCCTCCTCAGCTCTGGTCTGTTGCTTTTATTCTTTAAATGTTTGTTTTTAACTCAAAAAGCAGTAGATTTATGTATACACCGATTATTACTCAAAGACTTGTTTTATCATGATTTCAGGAGCCTGTCGAAGCGCAGTTAGATCAGCCTGGATCCCTGACTTTGGCTATGTGTCAACTACTCGGTGAGATCCAGGAATCCAAGAAGAGTGTGGTAACACCGCGGGAGTTATTCACACAAGTTTGTAAAAAGTGAGCTTGACTAAAGATTGAGGCAGAACTCGGCTGCAAGATGTGCTTCCTATCATTCCTGCATTTAGCGTCATTCATCGTCTCGTCTCCTTTCTGCAGGGCTGCCAGGTTCAAAGGATTTCAGCAGCAAGATAGCCAGGAGCTGCTGCGTTACCTTCTGGATGGGATGCGAGCTGAGGAGATCAAAGTACGCTTTCAGTTTAAAACAAATCTCCATATATATCACATTGGCAAAAGATTTACATTTAAAATGCACACTGTAGCTTTCCTAGTGGCCCTATGTTAACTGGAATTATATTGTTTTGACAGCATCTTACTCTGTGCATTGAAATTTCTTACTCAGGCTCACTGGCAGCAAGTCAGTCAGATTCTAAATGTAATCACAAATTGAGGACATCTTAAGCATGAAATTCAAACAATTGTGGCTAAGTAATGTTTTTTCTTTTATTTAATGACCTTTCTCTGAAAGCTGCTCTGACTGGTTGGTTCATTTTCACGAGTGGAGGTTTCATAAGAGCGCAGTCAGAGCGTAAAGTTGTTGGTATTCGGTGAAAGTGTTGTATGGCTTACATCTGCGATGGTTTCTCACATAGTTATTTTTTATCATTTACATTTAAAGATTGTGTTTGTTTCTGCAGAGAGTAAGTTCAGGGATCACGGAGGCATTGAAACAGTCTAGGAAAAGCACAGATGGAGAGCAGCTGAAAACTCTAGTTAAAGGTAAGTAACTGGGATATAAATAGAAACATCTTGTAGTTGTCATGTGAGAAATCCTTGTTGCATCCTACTATAGTATACAATTTTGGTACTCCTAATATTTAAATATGGCCATATGACAAAGAAGTTCTCATTTCAGAGTACGAGAAAAATGAATTTCCAAAAAACTTTGTGGACCAAGTTTTTGGTGGGGAAATGACCAGCACTATAATGTGTCAGCAGTGTAAAACAGTATGTATTGTGGACAAACCTTTAAGATAAACTATCAGTGTCATGTCAGTGCCACGCTAAAGCCTCTATTTTGCACTTGCAGGTTTCTGTAGTCACAGAAATGTTTTTGGACCTTTCCCTTCCTGTTTCTGATGAGGTAAAGCCCTTTTAAAAATGTTTTTATATCAAATGTTTTTTCATGTTGGATGTGAGTCAACTGCATGTGCTCTCTTATAACTACATCTTACAGGCATATAGAAAGAAAAACCAGAAAAAAGGAGTCCAGAAGACGAGTGAGTCGAGCCAGGATGGCAGAAACAGCCCTGCTCTGACCAACGGAAATGATGAGGACATTCCCACAGGGTCTGGTAGCAAGTACCAGCAGAAGAAAGCCAAGAGGCAGGCCAAGAAGCAAGCAAAGGTACCTCAGTGAATATACACAAAGGACGTTGTTTTCTTTTGCCTTCGCTTGTCTCTTTGATGGATGAGTGTGCAGAACAAACTCAACAGTCTGTACTGTTCCCTTGTCTTTGCTTATAGCATCAAAAAAGGCAGCAGAAGCTTGAGGGCAGAGTCACTTTGGACAGTCTCGCATCTCCGAGCCGTGGAGAGAACGAACGGACGGATCCTTCTGCAGCTGCAGATGAAGATGAAGGGGAAAATGCTGACAGTGAGACACGTGAAGAAGCCCCACTCAGTGAAGAAAATCCTGCACAAATCGTTGCAGCTGAGCAGGGTGTGAAGAACCTTGACACGATCCAGGCAGAGAAGGAGCAAGAAGAGGGTGAGGATTCAGTGACTGACTGCGACTCATCAGCTACTTCATCAGTCAGCAACCGTTTTACCGTCCTATCAGAGGATCACCAGTCAAAGGACAGCACCTTAGATGATGAAAAAATATCTGACATGGAACAGGAAGCAGAGGAAGACACAGAGCTGGTGACTGAAATGGAGAAAGTGACCCTGGATGATGCCTTCATAGAGGACTCTGACACTGTGGAACAAGGCATGGAGATTGAAGATGAGCCACTGGAGGGTAAAGAGTACACTGTAGTAAATCAGGACCCAGAGCTGGCCTTTCACACACTGGCTACCAGAACGGTCCCTGAGAAACAGGAGTGTTCAGTACAGTCATGCCTGTTTCAGTTCACAGAAGTGGAAACCCTCACGCAGAACAACAGCCTGTTGTGTGTCACATGCACAAAACGGCAGGGGAACAAAGACAAAGCTGGAGGTGTGTAGAATTTCTCTTAGTGAACGTATTTGATCTATTGTTAATATGCTTTTGTTCCTGATAATATACGAACTGAGCATGTTTGTGGATTTTGGACACTACAGTGTCAAAAATACAGTAGCAAAAAGCCTGTCAAATTGTGTAACTTTGGTCTTTTTTTTTTTTCTTTTTGCTGCAGCTTTTTCTCAAAGGGACTCATTTTCCATTTGGGGATAAATAAAGTTTGTCGTCTTTATTTGTTCTCTGTTTAGGATCCAAGAAGAATATCTACACTGATGCCTTGAAGCAAATGCTGATCTCCTCTCCCCCACCAGTGCTTACCCTTCATTTGAAGAGATTTCAACAGGTAAAACAGTTGAAGAAAACTTCAGCATTTTTACACCTTGGATCCAGCCAAGCAGTTTTAAAGACCATGGGTTTTTGAACTTTTTTTTTTTTTGTCTATTGTAAGCACTGAAACACTTAATGTTGAGTTTTAATGAAATCACTTCTGTTGTTTTCCTCTAGAATGGATACAGTATTTGTAAGGTGAACAGACATGTCCAGTTCCCCCTGATACTGGATCTAGCTTCTTTTTGTGCAGTTAAATGCAAGGTAAATATCGGGATTAACATCTTTTATAATTTAACAGTACTCTTATAGGCCCATTTGTAAATGTGTCACTGTTTTATTTTACTCTGAGCACTAACAAGAAGTTGTTTCCAAACAGAACGTGACAGAAGGAGATACTCAGCTTTTGTACAGTTTGTATGGTATCGTAGAGCACAGTGGAACAATGAGGTCGGGTCATTACACAGCCTATGTGAAAGTACGTCCTGAGTGCTCTAAAGCCTCCTCCAACGGACTGGCAGCAGAAGGTAGGTGATCACGTGCATAGAATGTAACAATAACTTGGTCCTAATGTTTTAAATATTGGAACCATTAGGATTCATATTTTAAATATCTCCACTAACTCATCACTTCCCTTCAGGAGATGCAGAGCCACCCAGAGGATCCTGGTTCCATATCAGCGACACAAGCGTTCAACCTGTGAGTGAGAGCAAAGTCCAGAGTTGTCAAGCCTACCTACTCTTCTATGAAAGGATCCTCTAATCAGACTGTGCCTCACTACTCAGGAAATCCCAACAAGCCAACCTGCTGCTGCTTCAGCTCCTCAGTTAACCAACCTCTGCCTGTTTTGTCAGTGACTCAGACTGGGCTGTGATGAAATTAAATTGATTATACACAAGGGACATTTGACAGTGTTGACATTTTGATCATGGTAGTGTCATACAGTCTTTCGGGTATTAAACAGGACAGCTGTATGTTTCTCCTATGGGAATATGATGAGGTGTGACAGGAATTTCAAGATGGACATTCAAGAGATAGTGGTAGTGGATGTGTTATTCAATTTCCTGAGAAAAGTGACAGTTAGGGAAATTATTTGTAAAAGAAAATATTTATATGTCTATTTTTTATCAATGTCATGTAATGAAAAGCTTCAAAATAAGAAAAAGTTTCTCCTGGCTCGTGTCATGGCTTTCTGACTCTTGCACTGAGCATGCGCAGTAAGTGCTAACAGGTTTTCCTGGTCCAAATTGTCACATGACAAGGAAAGTCTGGCTCAGGAAGGCCAGAGTCATCTCTACCCAAGATTTACAAATGGCAGTGTTATCCAGCTGACATGGCAGGTCAGTGAACATTTGGGCTTGTAAACGAATATTTTTAAAAGAAGTTTCTGTTTTTAAAGGTTTTGGGTTTGTTTTTCTTTCGTCAACAACAGGAAGATCGCTCGGTGCGTTTACAGCTAACGGTTTGGCCTAGCGTAACGCTTTTCCGTTTGGATAACATTTCCAACTATTACATTAATGTCATAAAGAAAATGTTACTTGTTAGTAACATAACGTCTTTATTTTATAACTTTGGATATTGCTCGTTACGCGTCTCCGCCAGGCCCAGTTGGGTAACTTGGCTAAATATGAGTCAGCATTTTAAACTTGCTGCCCAAGTTAAAGAGTTAAAATTAAATCCATCCAGGCTGAAATATTCATTGAACATCTAACTACTAAAGCTAAATAAAGCTTATCAGAAATCTGTTAGTCTAATTGTTTATCCCAGTAAGCACAATTTTCAAAGTTACTGAATGTAACATACGTAAACAATAATATCTCATACTGAGTCAGACAGACGCACTGAAGCACGTTGTCCCCAGATTGGAGACCTAGTCACTAGTAATAACATGTAATAGTAATAAACTATAATGACATGATAACATACCTTAATGATTACATCACATTTAGCTAACTCGTATGTTGTCTATAATATCGTTGAATGAGAAGAGACAGTTTCTTTTTACGTCCTTAGACCTTCTCTCCTGTCCATAACAATAACATCACTGAATGTGCTCAATGTACTGAGGCAAGGTGGTATAATATAGAAGAAAAGTACATTTGCAGTGGTTTTACATGATCATAAAACCCCATTTTGAATGGTTTGAGGTATTTCACGACTGCACAGAAGAACCATCTCATGAATTATTGATTAATCCGTGGGTTATTATCTTGATTAAAGGTTTGGTCATAAATGGCAGGAATCTGTTAAAAAATGCCTGAAGCTGAACCTGAAGATCTTCAATTTAATATCATATAAGATAAAGATTTTTCAATCAATTATCAGAATTGTTTTTGGATTAATTCTCTGCCAGTAGACTAATCGAACAATGACTAATCATTGCAGCTAGAATCCACACTGTGGTCTATTTTTATTATTGTGTATTGTGATTATTATACTTTTTTGACTCCCCCCTGCTCCCTCTGACACACAGGCTGAGCTTGTAAGAACCATGTCGCTCCAAGCTCCTCGCATGTCAGTGTTCACGTTTCAGTCTGCAGTGCACAGCACCCATGTTCTGCAGTGTCTGAATGACCAAAGGCAGCAGGATGTCCTGTGTGATGTGACAGTGGTGGTGGAGAACAGGAGTTTTCGGGCCCACTGCTCTGTCTTGGCTTCCTGCAGTGAATACTTTCACAGCAGGGTTACCAGTGTCACCAGACAGAATCCCATCATCACCTTGCCTGACGAGGTCAGTGTTCTGCTGTTCAGCAGAAGGGTAGCTAGACTGGTTTTCTGTCCAGCAGTAGATAACACTGTATAATGTGACTATTGATCCAGTTCGCAGCTCTTGTAATGTGATTCTTGCACATGCATGGATCACCATGTGTATGACTGTACATTTGTACATCTGTCAGCCCTGCTGAGAATAATGTAGTATTATACAGCTTTGTTCATATTTTGTAATTGTATGTGTCTAGTAGATACTGAAGTTAATAGTGTGTGAAGGCTTTATTGTAAAACATTTTATGTGCAGTTTTAGGAAAATGGTTACAAATTTCAGGGCAGGACTGTTGAAGTGGATAGTCTGCTACCCTTTGAGCTGCTTCAGTTTCATTGTAGTATGCTATACTGGTATGAGTTTTATCATGACTCAACAACTTGCTGTATCTTTCCCCCACAGGTGACTGTGGAGGGGTTTGAACCTTTGCTTCAATTTGCCTACACCTCAAAGCTGCTCTTCACCAAAGAAAACATTCATGCCATTCACAACAGTGCTGAGTTTTTAGGATTTCAAGACCTGGAGTCAGCATGCTTTGATTTCCTCATCCCAAAGTTTTCTGAAGGCAAAAGACCCTCACAGGAGGTCAGACGTAGAACCTGTTGTCAGAGCCGGGATCCCAGTACCAATTTTGGCTCCAGTGTAGAGAGCAGCCAACCAAAATCATTTGAGTCTCACAGCTCAGTGCCTTCAGTAGGTGATGAACAAACAGACTTCCCATCACAGTCTCCTCAGAGTGCCCAGGGTCAGACGAACAGCGGGGAAGAACACTTCTGTTTGGATAACTGCGGGCCACAAATGGCCCCCTTATCTTTGGAGTTAACAGCAAATGGTGTGTGCCCCATGTTGTCTTTGCCATGCCCAGACTCTGACAAAACAGATCATCCGTCTCAGTTTTGTGAAAGAGACATTTTAGAGATAGGAGATGTGTGTAATCAAAGTGAGCTGAGTTTGGCCGACTGTGGCTTACCCTGTGAGCTGTCAACCGCAGGGGATGTGAATCTGCCAGAACTCATTGAGCCAGCAGGCAGAGATGTTAAACAGACTGTTGAGACGGTTGGTGCTGAAACTAACTGTAACCCCAGTTCATGTCCACTCAACACATCAGGGGCAGAAAATTGCAGCGAGTTATTAGAGCAGAGTGAGGCCGGCCTTGAACAGAGAATGACAGGTGATCTCTCAGATCCTACACTAACTGCTCTAAGCCATGAAGAGGGATTTGGAGAGAGGAGCAGTGTGGAGAGGGAAGTGGCTGAACATCTGGCAAAGGGATTTTGGTCTGACCTATGCCCATCTCAGGCTCAACCACTCCCTCTGGATCCCATGGACCAAAACAGTTTGGCAAAAGCATCAGACTTTCATTGGCTTAAGCAGCTGGACTTGAGCTCCAGTGCAGGAGACTGTCCTTTCCTCAGGGACCTCGGGACAGGCGATGACCAGGCTCCACGCACTGACAGTCTGTCCCAGTCAGAGAAGAGTCCTTACATGTCCTCCTCACTCAACTCTGGGGATGACTCAGACCTGGACACAGATGGAGATACTGAGGCCAACAACAAAAGAGCAGCAGAGGTCATTCTGATACACAGCTGATGTTTGATTGCTGTAAGTTGAAGTGCAATAAATCTAACTAAACCCTATACTCTTCAGATTCAGCTACCGTTCCCGGTGGAGCAGATCTCAGCGCTGAGCCGAAGTGCCTTCCAGCAGCTTCTGAGACATCATCATCTGACTCAAGATCAGCTGGAGTTCGTCCATGACGTCCGCCGACGAAGCAAAAACCGTGTGGCCGCACAGCGCTGCCGAAAGAGGAAACTAGACAGCATACACCTGCTAGAATGTGAAATCAAAAGATTAGTAAGTTGCCTTTAATCTGTCTAGTGTCAAACACTACTACTATTGAGTTAAGTGTCTTGAGCTAAAGGTACTTTGTGACCTTTATTGACCTCTAGTGGTGACCAGTAGGAACTGCAGAAATGCTGATGGAACTACTTTTGTCTTGCGGAACAAGTGTCTGACTCAGCCCTAATTTCACTTCTCGTCCATTTGACTTTAAAAAAAGCGTAATTTTTGCAATAGAGGTCAGTATGCTAGACAATTAACCACACATTTACCTGGACTCTGTGTGAGGTCCACAAGACAAAAACTACTTATCACAGCAAGTGAATGCATCTTGCTCACTTCTTCATTAAAATTACATGGGTGTAAATTCTGTAGCACTAGTAGGAAGGTGAATGGTTGCAAATTGAACAGACTGGTCCAGGAAATGTTCTAATTCCAAATACTGTAAACAGATGAAGGAACAAAAATGTATGGGTAAAAAGCATGAACGAAGAAACTGAAACGTTCTGAAACTTTCTGTATTTGCTAAGCTCCGTGGAGTGGCCCTTTTAATTTTCAGTTGTAATTCATTGTCCAAAACAAAAGCATAGTATGCACTGGTGAGGTGTTAAGAAAGTGACGATGCGTTACTGTCATCCTCTCTGTAGAAAAGTGAGAAAGAGCGGCTGCTGCAGGAGCGAACTGAGCTGGAGCAAAACCTGGAGGAGACACGACAGAGTCTCTGCGGGTTATGTAAGAGTGTCAGCATCGAGTCTGGTTCTGAGCAGGACCACTTGCAGCTTCTTGCCAAACTTTCCTCATCCGACTTCCCCATGTCCTCCCCTAGCCTCGCGGGGAAAGATGAGGAGTCCGAGATCACTATCGAAATGGTAAGTTGTTCTTCAGAGTGTGACCCAAGCGGGATGCCTGCAGAGTCAGTTAAGACTGTTGCACCAGAGGCTGGCACACAGACAGATGGAGCAGATTCTCCACAAAGCTGCTCTTTCCCTGCATCTCTGCTCAACGCTTGTCTGGACATGAACAACAGCTTATAATTGGACTCAAATTCCATTGTCATTTCTAATCATGCAGGACCACGGGCAGGGGGTGCACTTTGAGTTTATACTGTAATCCCCTTTCCGGGATGGACATGCTTTCCTGTGTGTGTCACTGAATAATTTTCCGCCTGATAGAGGTATCTTAAATTGACGTGGAAAAATGTCAAATTTCCTTCGCTGTATTTTAGACTATGCATTTCACTGTAGTAAACACAAAATCCAGTAATTATCTTTTTGAAGGTGCCAACAATTTTCAGGTAATTTCCAAATGTTTCCATTTGTAAATTAGCAGGATGATTCTTAGAATTAGGTTTGATTTTCTCAGGGACACTCACAACCTGACTGTGTTTTGATGGCTAAAATGATTCTCTTTGCACACCCACCCCCCTCCGTACACCCACACAGACTCACAGTTTTGATGATAAGATGTTTCTTTCATTCTAGGTTAATTAGTCTGTCGTTATAATCTTGACACATACTGTTTTATTCCACCTGTATGCTTTCATAAAATATGCACAGCACTAACAGAACTTTTTTTTTTTACCATAGTTTTCAAGGAATTGTTACAGCTAACACAACATGTATAGTTTGAATGAATAACTGTCAGCTTCCCCCAATATTTGAGGAATGGTTGCAGTGTGTCTGAAGATGTTACAGGGGAACATAAGAAATTATGTTATTTGATGCAATCCGTGCCTTATGCAGTAGTATAGTATTAATAGAGAAAGTTAAAGGCAATCTTTGTATATTCTTGTCTCAAGCACTGTCGCACATTAAACAAGAGCCCATATTGATGGCATTCTCTTACTTTTAGGTCTGTCTGCATGTTAAGTATTTTTTTTATTAAATGCTTTCATGGATTACAGATTTAAATAAAATGCATTTTGTTACCATTCAGCTCACAAGAAGCTGGAATATTTTCCACTCTAATGATGTACAGTACCACAGTTTGGCCAGTAGATGGAAATACGACTCTATTTACCTCACCAGCTCTGCTGACCCTTCATTGACTGACTAGAATACTACAACAGTATGACCTGTTCCTTCTGCACTTTCTCTGCAAGAGACTGAGCTTTCTTTATCAGAGCTTTTTGCAAGATTAAAGCTTGAAATTGCAAAAGTTCTGTAAACTTTGAGCCATGAAATGGTTTCTGACTGTTCAAATTTGTGCATAAGACATATATTTGAAAGAAAGTTGGGCCTTTTTGTAAAATTAAGATGGGTAATAGTGGTATGATACTGTATCTGATAGTAAAACTGAACAGTTGTGTATGGATTTATCAATTCTACGTTGGCTCCACAGAGAATCATTTGGTAGACTGTACATGGGACTAAATTAGGGCTGAAATTAAAGGAAAACTCAGATGAGAATGATAAATGACTTAAGCTTTGTAAAGTGTGAAGGCACCCAGACACCCTGCAGACAAGAGGTTGGTGAGAAACAGGTGTATATGACAACCATCCCTGTAACCCAGCAGTGCAAATCAAGTTGTAAGACCATGCTGTAGATGGAAGGTGAATGGAAGATGAAAATAAAAATTAATTCTGACTTTAATGCTATGTATTTCTTGAGCTATAAATAACTGGGTTTGTCATTTAAACAGACCTATCTGCGTAGCCTCACATGCTGCATCAATTTTTTAGAATCAAAGCACTTCGTGGAACTGACTGGTTATTTATTCACGAACGTACACAGTCATGTTTGGCAAGATGCAGACAGCACAAAGCAGAAGCTGTTCAGTCATTATTAAACCAGTTTCATGCATAACAACCTGTGCCACCTGTAGAGAAGAAAAGCAAAGTAAGCCATCTGAGTCAGTGTATCACCCCACACATAAACAGAAGCTATAAAAAATTAAACTGCATTTGTCAAAACTGCAGCAGATATCTCTCGCTTGTCTATAAATGGCACGGATCAACATGTCTACATGTGCAGGTCCACACGTACACAGATACTTTTGCGGGTAGCTGGTGTAGGTTGGACTGGCAGGTTGATGCTAAAGTGTATCAAAAAATATACACGGGAAACAGTAGGTCCTTATGCTCCCTTCTAACAAAAGCTCTGCTTTAGCAACTAGCATGGCACGTGCTAGGCTGCTCTCCAAAGATCTCTCGGTGACAACTGTTGTGAAATGATGTGTATCATCCTCATCAGTTTGAAAGGTAATTCTGTTTGGACTGTTTCTTAATATCATTTTGACTCTATCTTTTGCATCACAGCAACCAAGTTCTTTTGCAGAACACACATTGTTTTTAGCACATGGGTGAAAGTGAAAGTCATCTCTGATCGAAGCACAAGATAAGATAATTACAAACAAACACAAACCTTCCTCACTACACCATACAAGTTAAAATGATGTAAAATTATACATAATTCTAGCCTCATCAAATCTACATACATAGTGGCAACATCTACCTTTATTTTTGGTTGTTTACTGTGTCAGTAGGCCTGGTTCTGCTGATGGCCTGAGTGTCAGGCTGTGAATAACATCTTTGAGCTTCCAAAAAAAGGAGAGATAACTAGGATAAGCATTATTTAAGGTTTAAAGTTGTTGAAAATGGAGCTATGATATGAACTGACATTTGTCTAAGTGCTCCCTCTCAGAGTGCAGACCTTGTATCAGCCGTGGTCAAACAAGCCAATGTTAAACAGAACAACCATTTCAAGAAAGCCCCTTTAAAGTTGAGGAAGCAATTTTGTCAAGATGTTTTTGTCTTGTGATATGAATTTCCTACTTCTCTTGGTTTGGACGGTGCTTGCCTTGTTGTTTTGTGTCCATTAAAATAGCTACTGTGTTACTTGGGGAGCGATGAAATAAAAAGCAATCTCATTGTGTTTTCCTCAGAGCGCAATCCTCAAGGTTAAAGTGGTAATTACACTGAAGCAACCCTGAAGCGACTAATAGAACACGTACGTATCTTTGAGAAGTTGACACACACACACACACACACACACACACACACACACACACTGGTACACAAAGCTGTAACTCTAACTCTACAAGTAGTGTTGAATCTAAAAGTCATAAGGATTAGAAGATGATAATGCCACAGACATCAGATATCATCTCCCTGTGCTGCCATGACACACATCTGTAGAAAATCCTCAAGTTGATGCTTGTCAAAACTGGCATCACCTTCAAATACCGTATCACCCCAAAGCATTGAGTCGGACCACTTTCTGAATTTCGAAAAATTAGGATTCTTCCCCGGTGTTTGTGTCTTTTATATACAGTTTAGATTTTGGAGCATTGTAGCTCAAAAAGTAAGATTATCCTCTTTTGCAAGCTACACAGGACGAGAGACTTGATTTGAGGAGGAAGCAGCTGTGCGGCATGGCAAGGTCAGAGGCCCATAATCCTCGGCCTCATTCATGCGAGATTAAAAACCTGCTCTGAGTTCTCATTAAGAACGCAGGGTTAGAAGATTAAAGACCAGCAAACAAAATGAAAGCAGTTTAAGCCCAATCCTGGAATTCATCAGAATACCAAAACCTTAAACTGTCATTACAACGTGAGATTAATGCAAAGCCCCCTTGAACTCTGTATCAGTCTTGATATATCTTCTGTGTCAGAGCCTATATTTCCTTTTTCCCCAAAATCTGGATGAAGATCTCTCACTTTTTTTCTGTCATTTTTCTCCACCCCATCCCCTCCTCTTTTTTTTTTCATTGAAATCATTTTTCAAAACACAATAAACCATTGTCAGTATGAATCAAATCAGATTACTGTCAATATAATTACCAGTCCATTTTCATTTTTAATTTTGTTGTCACACAATACATGGTTTTATTTTTATGAAGGGTCTATGTTTGTCCCTTTTACATACTTTTCCAGTGATTCCAGTCATTATCCTCTGACAGACAGATTCCACAATACTTTAGGTAGCAAGGATTAGGAAACAGGAGGCGAGGGGGAAAAACAAGGATTAGAAATGAAAACATCTGGAAGTTAGCTTGCTTGAAAAAAGGATATATATGCTAATAAAATTGACACTATTCAGTGTGGCACTCATGAAGATTAATTGACTTTTCCTGCAGACTAACACTGGCCGATTCTTTTAGGGCCACACATACAAATGTTATCTAGCAGGCCTTGTTAAACAAGCAGCAACAATGTGAGATAGATTACAAGACTGTGCTTGCTAAAACATTTTTTACATATCCACTTTAATTTTGAGACAAATATGAGAAGTCTGAAAAATGACACAATCCAATTGTAACATCAGAACAATATAAACCAAAATCTGTGACATGATCATATCGGTGTTCACTTCCATAAACATCAGATTATACCCTGATACATCGAGTAACGTTCAGATTCCTTCTCATTTTCTGTAAGAATGCACCTTGTGTAAAATTAATATGGCAGCACTGCAGTGACTTCAGATGTTCCTGAATGTAGATCTATGGAGTAGTCATCCATATCGTGCTGAAGTTTCTGTAGCAGGGGTCAAAATCCTAGAGAAAGACACAATACTTGTATAATCAATCCTAGCATAAGGTCCATGACCTTCTTGCAACACAGCATAAGTCTTATAAGCTGTTGAGCTACTGTATCCTAACTGATTACATGCTGCAGTCACTATGAACTTCATTTTGGGGGTAGTGCAGAGAGAGGGGCTGTATCCCATTGACAGGATTATATAAATGAGGACCATAATACTGTAATCTCCCAGAGAAATGAGAGAAACCAGGGGACATGCCGAACCCAGCTAGCTAGCACCCTGGTCTGCAACCGTCAGATTATCAACCAGCTGGTTGTACAGTGACAGATTACATTCACACTTGTTTTCTGGTCTTAACAGTCCTCACTAACACTAGAAGCACAAGGAAACGTGCCTTTCAGGATATGATCTGTCAAAAGGTCACAATGTATCAGACTGCAACTATTTGACAAGTCATGGAGAAATAGTCAGAATTTATCAGCGTCAAGAGCAAAGTGGAAAAGCAAAAATGAAGCCTGCAATTCCGCTAAGTACGCTGGTTTTTAATTAACTTTGCTGTTGTGAGAGTTAGACTCAGCAGTGAGTCATTTTTTCAGATTAGCAGTGCAAAAAAAATTCAGAGGAAGTGATCATCCTTTGAACAAAGTCACATACTGTGTTAGTTATTCATGCGTTTGATCTGTGCTGGTGTTGACTAGGTACAACAGAAAAACGTTTCCTGTGTTTTCCTATATTATAATTGACCAGTATTAATAGTTAGATTCTATTATATCCTCAGTTGCAGATTAACTTGTGACTTTGTGTTATGTGTAACATTTTCTCGTTCTACTCATTTATTTTTGTTAATTTTATGTGCAATACCAACTAAACAGTGAGCATCAAAATGTTGTAAGTTTTGTCAAATACACAGAAAGGATTTCACCTAAGCAATTCAGTTGAAGCAGTTGGCCTAAAGGGCCTCTCTATTAACAATTTAAAACATTTTAAACAAGGATATGGGATTCATCTTTATTAATAAAGTTTTTATGAATGTATGGAACAGCATTTAAATCAAATTAATTAAAAACTCAATATCTTAAACTAATTCTTTCTTTTGTATGGCAGAAGAACATGTGGTGTAATCCTGGCTTGGATTTTTCTCACAGCACTGAACGGAATCAACTGTCAAAAAGAAAAGAGATTTGATAAAACTGAAGGAGCAAAGTCTGTTTAAAAAATGGAAAAATACAACACTGAACGGCTGCCAGGTCAAAATCAAACAATCCACTTGATATTGCACTGAAACATAAAAAACATTAAAAAAAAAATTAAAAAAACCTTCAACTTAAAAGTAGAGTTTCAGTTGATTGATTTTAACCTGGTATCACACTTCTTCTTTGACGCAGACTACTCAAAAGAAACGTGTTTGCCATTCAAAACTGAAAACTGTAAACTTCTGTAATCTCTTGATT